CCTTCGCGTGGGTCTCTTCGCATTGCCCAATTTTGGGCAATGAGAAGGCGGATTCACTTGCGAAGGTGGGCGCTATGGAAGGCGACATTTATGATCGACAGATCGCCTATAGTGAATTTTTCTCTATTTATCGTCAGCAGCTGCATGGTTCAAAGGGTTGGACTTGGGTCGAGACTCCATACGCGTGATGTCTCGTCTCATGTCAAATCACTATTCGTTGAACGCTCACTTGTTTCGTGCAAGGTTGCAAAGACTCATTTCAGCTAAAATAATGTTTTTCGGAATAATAAAACCAAAAGATGGTATGATGGCATGTTTTACTTGTAACTTACAAGAAGAGGTTACAAAGTATGCATTGGAAACATAAAACCTGTAAATTTTGCTTTTTATGAGTCACAATCAGCGATTTGCTGATCGCTGAGTGAGTGAGTGAGTGAGTGAGTGAGTTTGTGAAAAATCGCTGATTGTGACTCTCATGAAGTGAAATAAACAGGTTTAATATGTCAAACACATTCATTGCAACCTCTTCTTGTATCCTACCAATTCAAAATTTGATCATGGCATCTAATTATTTCATAATTTAGAAAAACATTGTTTGAGCTGAAATGAGTCTTTGCAACCTTGGTTTCGTGTTGGGTTGGGAGACAGCAATCTCTGTGAATGTGGACAAGGTTACCAGGACGCTGATCACATCCTTTGGTCTTGTGTGGAGTATCGTAGAGTCAGATCACATTTTTATGATTCCCTTCAGGCTCGAGGTAGACAACCTAATGTTCCAGTTCGGGATATTTTTGCTAGACGCGATCTGGAGTTTATGAAACTCATATATGTTTACTTTAAGAATATTCACCTTAGATTGTTAGTTTGATTAACCTTGTGCTTAGTTTGTATTTTGTACGAGTAGATTTTTTTTAAATGTTTGTTTTCAAGATGAATAGAAATAATTTCATGTTTTAGGATAAATTAAATATTTGTATCGTAAATCACATTTCAAAGCTCCTTCTCCCTTTTCCCATCCAAAAAAATTGTAAATCTCCACTAACCTCGAGACAACCGTGAGTACTCGGTCCAGCTCCTTTAACTTTAAATATAAGACAGTAATAATGTATAACGAAAATGATAGCTCGGCTCTGTAAAGTTTATTCGATTTAGCCTGTACAAATAAAGTAATTATAAAAAAAAAATATGATTTATCCCAAGCCACAATTATAGAACATTTATCCTGTTTGATCTTGGTCAGAACGCTTCGGAATTTTTAGAAAATTTAAACATTATTTAACTGCTTTCGAGCACGTAATGTCATTGGAATATATTGTTTAATCAAGGCCTTTACAATCGTTACGTCGGTCATTGCTTGTTGTGATGTAAAACTGTAAAATGTTTAGAAAAAAATAGTGCGCTGACTTGATTCATTTTGGGATCCATTATTGACTGCTTTCGATAACGTAATTCCACTGGAATAGCTTGTTTATCCAGGGCTTAACTTGATATTTTCTGTAGCAGTTTCAACGCTTGTCATAATTTATTGAAAAGAAAACAAGAACACATGCCTCTCAAAATAATCAAATGAATAGTTTCCCGTCCAGAAAATTTTAAACGGCATCGGATCAACTGCACCTCAATGATTAACCATACCCCGTTTAAGTGTACGACTATTTCCAATACATAGCGCGAACATTAAATTCCCGCCAAAGAAAAAAGTCCATTCATCCATCCGCCCCAATCCGGCCGGAATCAAAATGCAAACTCTGGTTTAACACACAGTGCGGTTTACAGCTTCGGCATCCATCCGTCCATCATCCTCTGTGGCACTGCACCTGCCTGCACACCTACATATATCTGCATGCATCTGCGGAAGCGACCACAAATGGCAAGTTTCGAACCTAACCTAACGGTCGTCGTCGGTCAGCAGTTGGTTCGATAGAAAGGCTCCACCATGGAACCGGACTCTCGCTCGCTCTGCGGACATCGAAGCCATTGATTAGTCGATTGAACAGGAAATCACGATTACCGAATCGTGTCAGTCAGTTCACCTACACCCCCACGCCCATCCTGCTCGGACTGAGTCGGTCTGTTTTCGAAGCATGATGGGTAGGTGTTTTAGTTTCCAGTTTCCCAATCAAACCAACCTCGAAAATGGGTGGCCCGGGTAGGTGGACTAACGAGTGCGGTTGGGAACTTTTCACCGCAATCAGGGAATCGTGCCAATAAATTTAATTTAAATCCTAAAGCTGTCGGTTCGAATCGTTGAGAGCACGCAGAAGGACTGGGTCAGCTCGGGGATGAATGGTGCGTGTTTGGTCAAAAAAGAGCCAAACTAGCTCGGGGACCGCAAAATTGGCGATTTTAATTCTGATTTAGTTGAAAGGGGATGGTTGCTTGTGTGTGAGTTCGATTTGGGAGGCTGCCTTAGATTTATTTATTGGTGGATTAAATTGGCGGAATGGCCTGCTGGCAGTTGTTATCGAGTGCTATGCAATATCACACAATGCGATGACCGTGTTTTACCGGATTTCCTGTTGAGGTTTTGCTATTGAGAGGAATTGATAAACAAAGTTTAAGAGGAAGTTCAATAAATTAAGTTGCTAATTATACAATGAAGTTATATGCAATATGAATTTGCACGGAAAGTATACAGAATTTGCAATGTTTCGCAACATTAACAGATTCTGTAATGTGGTCCTTGGAAGGTTTTTTAAATATATTTTTTAATATTAATGTTAGGAATTCGCTTGTTTTCATCATTGGACGTAATAACCGACACTAAGAATAGGCAAACCTATTATCGTGCTCAGTCATCTAACCCATGATTATGAAGATCACAATAACGAGAAATCGTTCATGGATCATGGATTTATTCTTTTAAATATTTTCCTTATATGATTGTTATAATAACCCTCGGAGGTCCAAATGATGCTATCTGCTGTGTGATATTGAAAGATGTCTCTATTGGAAAGTGAAGAAGTAGGCTTTGAAAAGCTGTTAAGCGCTTGTGGAAGATCAAAAGCTGGTATTCACAAACAAGCTCCCAAACTGTAAAGACCACATATAGAACCTAACAAACGTTAGTTATAGTTGTTACGACGGTGTCTGTGCCTGTCAGCCCATCCTCCTAGTCTTTATAATTGTAATGAATGTATTTGTACAGATATCGTAACGACCATATTGTTCTTTATTCACGACCAAAAGTACATGTGTATCGTCTTCTTCTCTAGTCCACGACTGCCGCTCGACTCCTCATTGACAGGCGGACACGTCTGATACAAGGGGTGACTGAATGCGTTCGATTACTAATTACCTCTAACGTCACACCCTCACACTAAGCCGTCTCGAATGAACTAAATTCTCCTCTTGTAGGGGAACAGTTTAAAGAGACGTTAATAGACGTATCCACGTATCCTCACACTAAGATTATTATTTAATTGAACAACCTCACAAGAATAAAAGAATACTCGCCTAACTTTTCAAAAGGTCCTAAGTAACAAATGTAAACAAATCGAGTTTATAAATGCACATTGTAACATTTGTACCTAAGAACATTATGCACACACAGACATTCAGATTAATGTCAATTGAATTGAGAAAATTCTAAAATAACAAAACGTCTGAAGTCCAAATTTGCATTAACGATGTTGCACTGTTACATAAGACGTTTGACTATGTTCATCAAGACAAACGTCTGAAGTATCAGAAAAATCAAAACAATGCAGATCTGTACTGTGGTCCTTTGTGTTTATACGAGTAAAACGTCTAAAATGTTCAAACAAACCAAAACAATGTGACTGTGTACATTGGAATTTTCATGTCAAGCATTTTTCTATTATTTCCGCGTGGGGGGGGGGGGGGGGGGTGTACAATTATCCACGGCCCATACAAATTTTAAAATTTGTATATGGACAATTCTCTACGCATGGGGGGGGGGGGTGGTCAAGAATACCGAAAAGCTGTCTACGTAGTTAATGAGCAGCCCCTAAAATAACACTGTTATCAAATAAAAAGCAGCTCACGCGACCACCAACGATCGACCAAAACAATCTGTGGGCAGTGTTGCGATATAACGTTAAAAAAAAGTTGATGCATTGTCCATTACTCATATTGTTCGTTTAACTCGTATAACTTAAATTATGCACTCATAATGCTTAAAAAAAAAGCCGGCACCGGTGGTGTAGAGGTAAGCGTGACCGCTTTCTAACACCCCAATGGGTCTGGGTTCAATCCCAGTCGAGGTCGGTGAGATTTTTCTGAGGCATAAAAATCTCTGGTCACGTCTTCCTTCGGAAGGGAAGTAAAGCCGTTGGTCCCGGCCCATGTGTGTTGAATGGGTGCGATATCCTACGCAGGTGTGGAAGCTGCCTTCCTGCACATTCGGTTGCCGTCAATGGATGGCAATCGATGTCCGTCGATGATTGGCACTAGATTGCGGAACAGAAACCGACGTTAAATACAGGAAAAAAAAAAAAAAAAAAAAAAAATTATGCTTAAAAACAAACAAATAATTTTGAAAACATAAATGACCTATGTAACTGTGATTATAACAAAACGTCCTATATAACATGTCCAATGTACACCTGACTAGAGAAAAATGTCCTATGTAACATTTTTCACGTTTTCATATAAAAAAATGTATGAAACGGGTAGATTATAATTTCAATTTCAATTTTATTATCGTATTTTACTATTAAAGGTCTTAAAAATGTCAAAAGTTTAAAAGGTTTAAAATAGTATCAAAAAAGATTTTGTCAATCTTCAACCTCGTTTTTCTCGAAAAGAGTGAAATGTTAGATAGGACCTTTTGAAAAGTTAGGCGAGAATAATCGAGAATTGTAGATGTCCATATGTGTAGATTAAATGCTGAAGTCTGAAACGAGCACAGACATTTCAAATTATTATTTGCTCAATAATCTGCCTATGCAATCCCTATATTTCCATTCGCCTCTATCGAAACCTGCTAGCTCTAATCCGTCATCGCTATCAACACTATGCACACTAGTGAAACTTGCATCACTTTCATTGGAATTGTCTTCTTCTTCCTGCTCTTCTACTGAATCATTATCCGAGAAATATGTTTCATTGCCCTCTTCTTCGTCTTCTTCTACTACTTCACGCTCTTCTGCTGCTTCACACTCTTCTGCTACTTCACACTCTTCTACCTCCGCCTCCTCTACTTGTTGCTCTTGTTCCTGTACCTGCTCGATGGCAACCGATGCTTGTGATGGTGTCTGTAGAACTTCCCCTACGGGAGCCGGTGATCTTTTGACCCGCACTGGATACTCGTACCGATATAGCTTTTGTTCCTGTGTCAGTTTCCTCGGTATGCTATTTTGTACTTCAGCTTGTCTCGTATCCCGTGACATCTGGCCCAGATGTCGTTTGATTATCCGGTCGCTCTTGGATAACCTCACCAAACAGTTATGCTTACCGAGAGTACGAGTTACTATTGCCGGCGTCCAACTTGCCTTATTCGGGTTGGTATAGTCCCGTACGATAACACGATCACCCTCTTGAAACCGAATGTCCCTCGATCCTCTGTAGTTCCTCACTTGGGATTCTTGCTGAACGATAATTGCCTACCTCAATTTTTTGCTCCATCGCTGATGACTTCTCTCTAGCGCGTGGTAACATCAAGTCCAATGATGTACGTAGCTCTCTACCAAGCATCATTTTAGCTGAAGAAAATCCGGTTACACAATGCGCAGCGTTACGATAACGCATCAGAAAATTAGCTACTATCTCGCGCACGTTGGATCCTCCTCCAGCTAGACACTTCAACAGTGAAGCCTTGAAAGCTTTTACAGCGTTCTCTGCTTGGCCATTCGTAGCAGGATGACCTGGACTTGTAAATGTCAGCCTAACTGAATTAGCCGCCAAAAAGCTTTTGAATTTAGTCGCTGTAAATTGTGACCCATTATCGCACACGATTTCCTTCATTAAGCCAAAACGAGAAATGCACTCTAGTATCTTCTCCAACACGTACTCCGTATCACATCTCCGCGTAGGAAACACTTCTTTCCACTTCGAAACCGCGTCAACAACAATCAGAAAACTGGTGCCTTGAACTGGACCAGCAAAATCTAAATGAACTCTCTCCCATACACTTTGCGGTGGGTGCCACGGAATCAGTTTGGCTTTCTCCGGTGATGGTTGGCTAGTAAGGCACTCGGAACAGTTTCTGATGTGTCTTTACAGTTCCGCATCGATGCTTGGCCACCACACAAAACTTCTCAATACGGATTTACTCTTCACAATTCCCAAATGGGAACGATGCACTTGGCACAAAACATTTCGTCTCAGTTTCAATGGCACGACCACGCGTAAACCCCGCATCACTAGGTCGTCTTCCACCGACAATTCTCCCTCAATTTTACTAAATGCGTCGTTCACCATATCATTGTTTCTTTTACCGGTTCTCAACCACTCCCTAATAGCACAAAGCTCCAGATCTTTACCCGTTTCTTCCCGAAGCATATCACAATCAACAGTAGCTATGTCACCCATATTGAGAAAGTTAACATAACTATCGTCTTCCTTTCACAACTTCCAGGACTCATGTGGAAACCTCGATGGAAAATCCGCAATGTTTTCTCGGGAGCCTACGTGTTCTATCTGATAACTAAAACCTGCCAGAAAATTGGCCTAGCGCTGCATGCGACTAGTTGCTATTGCCGGTATACCTTTGTGTGGATTGAAAATCGAAAGCAACGGTTTATGGTCCGTTCGAATCACGAATGTGTTACCAATCAGGTAATGATAGAACTTATTTAAACCAAATACAATCGCCAGTCCTTCTCTATCGATTACACTATAGTTCCTCTCCGCCGCGTGTAGAACCCGTGATGCAAACGCTACTGGCCTTTCTCGACCATTGTCTTCTTTCTGCGCTAAGACAGCTGAAACACCTTCCATTGACGCGTCACAGATTAAAAACAATTTAGCTTTTGGATTAAAATGCGCTAATACGACATCTTTGCATATCTCATCTTTCGCCTTAGTGAAAGCGTCTTGACACTCCCTTGACCAAATAAACCTAACTCCTTTCTTGAGAAGCTTTTATATAGGGCTCATGATTTCTGCCATGTTCCCCACAAATCTGGCGTAGTGATTAATCAGTCCCACAAAAGCTCTCACTTCCTGGATGTTCTTTGGCTGTTGAGCTTCCTGAATCGCTTTGACTGTATCGTTTGTTTTCCTTAATCCATCCGAACTAATCACATGCCCCAAGTAAGTCACTTTGTCCTTGAAAAACCAGCACTTTTGTTTATTAAGTTTCAGTCCGGCCTGCTCTAGTACCTCAAATACTCTCCCTAGATTTTCCAGATGCTCCTTATCAGAATCTCCCGTGACCAGCACATCGTCCAAAAAGTTCTGCACACCCGGTATACCGCACAGTAGTTTTTCCAGTTCCCGTTGAACGATACCCGACGCCGGGCGCACACCGAAAGGAAGACGATTCATTTTATACACTCCTTTACATGTAGATATGGCACATGTCTCCCGAGACTCTTCATCAAGTTCAAATTGGTTGTAACACTTCGAAAGATCCAATTTACTGAATTTCTTTCCACCGTTTAGCTTGCTAAACACTTCTTCAACCGTAGGCAAAGGATGAATAACGTCTTTCACGTGACGGTTGACCGTACTCTTATAGTCCCCGCATAATCGAACCGTTTTGTCACCTTTCAGCACAGGAACCAATGGAGTACCCCACTTCGAAGTATCACACTTAGTGATCACTCCATCTTTCTCCATAGCATCTAACTCGGACATAACCTTGTCAACAAATTTGTATGCCACTGGTCTCGGTTTCCTGAAAACCGGTTTCGCACTTTCTTCTAACTCAATCCTTATAGAACCATATTTATATGTTCCCAAACCTTCACTGAATAAGCCCTGATATGTGTTCAACAACTTTTGTAACGCATAATTTGTTTTATCTTCAATTGCATGAACGTTCGAAAGTCCTAGGTCGAAAGCACGAACAAAGTGTCTTCCCAGCAAGGGTGGACCTCCGTTTTCTACCACCGCGAACGTAAACGCCTTGCGAATTCCTCTGAACTCAATCACTGGCTCAATCACACCTTTCACCAGCAACTGCTCTCCACCGTAACCCGTTAATCGCAAATTTGTCGATTTCAATTCACACGCACTCATGTTCTTATTGAAATACGACAACGAAATTACTGAGACTGCTGCTCCTGTGTCTAACTGCATTCTATAGGCTCTACTACTAATCCTCACCTCTGTTTCCAAAGGACAGTTGTCCCTCAATAGAAAAAATTGAACCGTCACACTTACTGATGAAGTTTTGCTCCAAGTTCATCTCATCCGTATCCCCCAAACTGTGCTCCAGTTGCTCCTGTCCTCCAACGAAGTAATTTCTCTTGGAGGTACACGCCGATTGCAGGTGGCCCCGTTTGTTGCACTTTCGACAGATGTATTCTTTGAATCGGCAATCTCGCTTGAAATGGCCTACGCGATTACATGCCAAGCACCGATTGTCTCCAACACACGTTGAATTCTTCACACCACTGGAACGTCCTCGTTCGAAATCATGTTTTCCCCGTCCCATCTGGAAAATTCCTGCTGATTTGCTTTCTTCCGGTTCGTACTTGATTGCAATTTCGTATGCCCGTTCGAACGTCAGCTTCTCGTCTTCCTCGCAGATTCTGTCGTATGCCTTTCCTTCGAGACCATCAACAAACTTGTTGAGTAAATCATGCTGCAAGTGGTCTCCCAATTTGCAATTCGATGCCAAGTTCTTCACTCGCGCTGCCCAAGCATTCAAACTCTCCGGGGGATCATCTCGCCTCCTAGCACGCATAAAATTTCGGCGCAGGTGGGGTGAATTGTTTCGACATAAGCTCACATAACTGCACGTATGTTTTTTCCGCTGGCGCATTCGGTGTGCAAAGGTCCCACAGCAGTTTGTATGTTTTAGCTTCACAATGGTTGATAAGCACCGCTTTTTTCATGTTATCCGCAATCTGATTCGCCGTAAAAGCTGCTCGAGCTGCTCCTTGTACAGCTCCCATTCTTCCGTTTCCCCATCGAAACACGGAAACCGCGATGCCTGCGCCACTGTACAGAAATTCACGAACTTTTACTTAAATCCTCGTCGCCAATGTAATGAATGTATTTGTGCAGATATCGTAACGACCATATTGTTCTTTATTCACGACCAAAAGTACATGTTTATCGTCTTCTTCTCTAGTCCACGACTGCCGCTCGACTTCTCATTGACAGGCGGACACGTCTGATACAAGGGGTGACTGAATGCTTTCGATTACTAATTACCTCTAACGTCACAATAATACAATTGTTTATGGGCCCAGTCAAAGAAGGAATCCCGCAGCTGACCGGACCGAATTATGAAAATTGGCATTTCCGGTTCAAGCTATACATGGATGCATTGAAAGCATCTTCTGTACTTATGGAAAATCCCCAGCTGCTGCTGAAGCTCGCGCGAAATGGGATCAAACGGACAGGAAGGTCAAGTCTGTACAGTCAGGAATCCTTATTGCCGGGGTAACCGCGAGTAATGGGATTTTCACTAATAGGGGCTGTGGTGGATTATCTCATTTGTTTCAATATATAGAGCTATACTGAGATAGACCAACAAGTCTGTGTCATTGGATTTAGGTTTAATTGGGAACTACGCCGCTAGAGGCGCTTCACTTTTATGTTACTTATGACAGGCACTATAATATATGGATCATATGTCCAACATAGAAAGTTACTGTCTTCAGCAAAGTTGTTCAAGTGACCAAGTCCTTTCGGATGTCGGCCATATTAGTTCAGAACTCTCTCAATACGCAGCGCTAGTGTGCATATGAGCTTGTTATATAAGCTGTATCTCAACATCCTGGCCATATAGAAGGTTACTGTCTTTAGCAAAGTTGTTCAGGTGATCATGTCCTTTTGCATGGTGTTTATATTGTCAAATTATTTAAGAACTCTCTCACTACGAGGCGCTAGTGTGTACGTGAACTTCCTTAATATGTTATGTCTGGAAAGCTTGTCCATATAAGATGTTGCTGTCAAATACCCTACAATATGGGTATATTTGGAAAGGGAACAACGTATAGAGGCTGGAAATCGATGCCAGACGCCATTTTGATATCCAGTATGGTGGCCATCAGTTCAAGAAAAACTGTCAAATTCCAAAATATGGGTATTGATTTTGGACATTTAGAGATCAGATATCGATGTCAGACTCCATTTTAAAATTGAAGATGGCGGCCTTTGCTTTAACGTAAACTATTAATGGGCGTGACGTGTATAGGCCCAAAATCGATGTCGCAAATTTGGATCCCAAAATGGTGGCAATTGGCTTTCGAAGGGACATTTAGTGGCTATA